TCATTTCTTACCTTTTCTTTCCTCATCGTGTTCTGGGTGTTCATTCTTGAGCAATGCAAGTTTTTTTTATCAGGAACCACGACACTACATAACGAACTGGAGGAGATTGTTGCAAACTTTGTTGGGAAGCCAGCTGCCATAGTTTTTGGCATGGGCCATGCCACAAACTGTACCACTCTCCCTGTTCTGATCGGAAAGGTATGTGCATAATCTTAGTTGTGGGATTTGTATTATGTTACGATTGAATTACAGTTTGTTTTATTTTTACAGGGAGGGTTAATAGTTAGTGATTCATTAAACCACAACTCAATTATCAATGGTGCTCGTGGTTCAGGAGCAACAATTCGGGTTTTCCAACACAATAGTAAGTTGAATGTGATAGTCGTTTTCAGTCTCCGAAATAAATATTTCCGTGTTCTCATGCATTGGAATCTGGTTACCCACTTTCCGCTCAGCACCATCTCACTTGGAGGAAGTTTTGAGGCAGCATATTGCGGAGGGGCAACTAAGGACACATAGGCCTTGGAAGAAGATATTTGTCCTCGTGGAGGGTATTTATAGTATGGAAGGGGAACTCTGCAAACTTCCAGAGATTGTTTCAGTATGCAAGAAATATAAGGTGACAGATGGATTGTAGTAAATAGTATTGCTTTGTGCATCTTGAATAATTTCAGTTTAACCTTTTATTGATTAGTTTTTGCCTGGAAATTTTGTGATTCTTTCTTATAGGGAAATTACTTTGTTGCTTTAGAAAACAGGTGGATTATTATAATATACAGTTGCAATTTATAACTTCTGAAAACTTCTGTTTTTAAATTCTGCTCTATTGTTTCACAATCAATGGAAGTTGAATCTGTTTTATGGGGAAAAATGATTTTAAAAGTTAGGGATGCTATGAATCTGAAAGTCATGTAAAATATTTTCTGGTCTGTTTTTTGCTTTACTTCTTTAACGTGCTTTTGCATTGCCAAGCTCCTTGATTTTCTGCTTAATTGCGTTAATAGCATCTATCTTCTTTTTTATCCCCTGTTTGTTGCAGGCATATATTTACTTGGACGAGGCTCATAGCATTGGAGCAGTTGGGAAAACAGGAAGAGGTGTTTGTGAACTCTTAGGAGTGGATACAGCTGATGTTGATGTTATGATGGGAACTTTTACAAAATCTTTTGGATCTTGTGGGGGTTATATTGCTGGATCTAAGGTTTATTACTTGTGCACCTCTGTTCTATTTACTAAGAGTTCTATAAAATGTGGTTTGAGCTTTCTGGGAAGAGTAATGTTGATGCATGTCTTCGATATCAATTCTTCTTTACTTGACCACTAGTTTGTTTTAACCCTAATTACAATCGACATTTTATAATACCAGACCTAGCCTATACTTTCTTCTATTGTAGTATGAAACTTCAGTATATGATTTTTTTTGTGCTCTTTCTTTTCTTGATACCTACCCACTTGGATGGGTTTGGCATCATTAAGTTGTCATGGAAAAGTACCAGTGGGGCTTTTTCATGAGTACTTTGCCTCTAGTCATATTGAGTAGTCGAGTTAGCAGCTTGGATGCTCTCTTCTGCCTTAAGAAAATATTAATGATCATGTTTTGGTTTTTCACACCAACCACCAAGTGGAAGTCACCATCTGATGACCAGAATAAACTTGTATAGTTTAGAACATGTTGGTGGATAATCCTTCTTAGCCGTATCATGAGTACTATCATTTTTTGTTAGTCTCCACTAATTCTAGAAATTCTGAAGGATATTGTTTGTTGTCAACGCCATATGAACTGTCTTTGCTATGACATATTCCAATTTTCTGATCATTTTCATTTTACTAGTGCAAAATATGCAAACTTGTTTCTAGTGGATTCAGATATTGATCTTATGTGAATAAATGCCCAATGGCTGAGGTTTGCTTATTACTTCCAGGAACTAATCCAATACCTTAAGTACACATGTCCAGCTCATTTATATGCAACATCAATATCGCCTCCAGCTGCACAACAAATTATATCATCCATAAAGGTTATTCTGGGAGAGGATGGTTCTAGCAGAGGTATTATAAAAAGATTCTTTCTTTTCTGATATACTAAGAAGTCTTTCTGAAAATACTCAGATTTGAGTTTACACATCAATTTTGTTTGTCGACATTGTTTCACTTTAGGGGCTCAAAAACTTGCAAGAATACGTGAAAATAGCAACTTTTTCAGATCAGAGCTGCAGAAAATGGGTTTTGACGTTATTGGAGATAATGATTCACCAGTGATTGCCATAATGCTTTACAATCCAGGAAAAATCCCTGCATTTTCTCGGGAGTGCCTAAAGCAGAATGTGAGATCCTAGTAATTGTTTTTTTGTTTGCATTGTCATGTAGATATTATTTATTCATCAGATTTTGTAAGGGCATTCATAATTCTAAATTTCATTAGTTGCTTATGTATCATCGTTTCTGTTCTTGTGGATGTCACTAGTTATTAAGGTCACACATGCTGTTACAGGTTGCTGTCGTGATGACTGCTTTTCCAGCTACCCCTCTGCTTTTGGCCAGGGCACGTATTTGCATATCATCCTGCCATGCCATGGAAGACCTTCTCAAAGCATTGGAGGTATGTGTGCTTGTCAATATGGACTTCTTTTCTATTACATAATGCATTCTCCTCCTTTTTGTGGTTTTGATGTTTTGTTGACCATCATTATCGAAGTCTTTGTGCATAATTTGGTTCTTAAACAACTGTCAATTAAGACTAGAGACTCCAACCGACCAAAGGATAGGGTATGGTTACTTGAGCTTAAAATGGGAAAGCAATGGCTATGAGTTTGCAAATACCCACTTCTTTTCTGATGCTTTTTGTCTGTTTAATTTTTGTGTGGCATTGAGTTGACAGAATTAGCAAGTCATTTCTGACGTTCGATTACTAATCCGAGCAATGCTAAATTCTCTCTTTCTGGACAGGTTATCAATCAAGTCGGCGACCTCATCGGCATAAAGTACTCCCCTGCCGGGTCTGATAAGCAGCATCAGGAGCAAGATGCAATGAAGTTGGAGTGAGACTCAAGAATCCCATCTCGGTGAAATTGCTCTATGACATGAAAGCTTCGATCTAGCAATTTGAGTAGCATGTATGTGCAGCATTGATTAGAATTCCTCTTGAGAATCAGAAAATGCTGTAGCTGTCTTGCTAGCATCGAAGCCTTCCTCTTGTTTATTTATGTGCTCGCATGTCGTGTCCTGTGTAGCCTTACTGTAAATTTGTTAAATGCTTTGATTCGGACCTCCAGTAATCTCATAAGCATGTCGTCAACAAGAATATGCAGTTGTTTATTTTGTCTTTAATTCAGAAATTAATTTTTTCTATTACAAAAAAAACATTATTTTTTGTTAATGTAAAAATAAAATCCATAATTATTTTATAAGAAATTATGGTTTACTAGAAATAAAGTAAACAAAGCAAGAGTACTGAGCTTTATAAAACAAGTTTAACAAAGCAAAAGTGGCTAAAGTCCACTTGTGTCAAGGAGGCAGTCTTTGCAAGCAAACCAGAGATGACAGGAAGTTGGTGCTCACTGGCACACAAATATTGCTTTCTTGGACTTTCAGAGTTTCCTGCAACAGCAATAAACACAAATATTGCATTTTGAACAGTGAAATTATTTTCTTATTCATGCAGGGTTAACTTACCTAGCTTGGTTAGTTTTAGGGTAGGAAGGTATTTTTCATGGAAAACATTAGTTATTAAAGAAAATGAGAGGGTTAATTGGTCTTTTTACCTCTTTGATACAAAGTGTAATAACTAATTTACCTTTTAAAAAAACATATGTTTTCCTTAGATCAAAGGGCTTCATGGGTTTTTCATTTTTTGTGGAGCACAATTACTTAATTACCCCTAAAAATAATATTTTATAGCTTTGAATGCAATGGCACTTTAGTTATTTCACAATGTTTTTTTTTTTTATTTTCATGTTAACATGCTTAGAATACCCTAGCAAGCAAAAGCTGCCAATACATTTAGAGTGATGCATGCAACGCCAAAACAAATCAAAATATTGCTATTCAGAATGATGTTTGATACGCCTCATAGTCTCTATTTCCTATCATGGTAGTAAGGTATGTGATGTCAAAAGACCGTCAATTAAGCTCTAGTTATATGTTTTTTTCTTTTTCTTTTTCTTTTTTCCTAAAAGAGCATGTTGGCTTTTGCAAAAAACCAAAGAAATAAATATATTAGTTTGTTGAGTCAAATTAGGTCTTTATTCTTTTTATTATAATATATTTAATTTTAAATTCTTTATTAAATTATTTTTTTTAATTTTATTTTCTTATTATACATTTTGGAATCTCGTGTTATGAGTGATCATTATTATTTGGATAATCATTCTTAACAAGCATAGAAAGAGAGATTCCCCAGTAAAAAAGCTATTTTATTTTGTTTATTAGTATGGTATTGATTGTTTTTTAAAATATTTTTTATTTTGAAATACATAAAAATAATTTGTTTTATTTATTAACATTTATTTTTTATATAAATACATTAAAATAATTTAAAACAAAAAAATTATTTTTTTAAAAAATATTTTCAGGCTATAAAAACAAACAAACAGACTAAAAATAAATAAAAATCTCAAGCACTACTAAAAATATTTTCAGGCTATAAAAACAAACAGACTAAAAAAAAAAAAAAATCTCAAGCACTGCGCAGGCATGGCCAATTCCAGGCTTCCATATTTTAATATAGCAAAATTGGTCCACAAACATTCCAGCTATGGTGATCGAAAGGTGGCCTGGAGGCTGAAGATGTAACCTACCACGTTTCTTTCCACATCATCCAGGCAAAACCTAATTGTATTATCAAAGAGTCTCATAGTTTATTTATATTATAGAAATTTCCAAAGCAAGAAATGATATATAAATAATAAATATAGTATTCGGTGAATTAATATATCAAGTGTAATGAAAAAAAAACAAATATAAAGAGCCAATGACAGCTCCTTCTTGAAATCCACCAAATTATTAAAAATAAAAAATGAAATTCATGTTATATATGTAACCTAATCTAAAGTCTAATCTACAAAAGAAGGAAAGTAAAGCACAAGGCCATGATTAACCCAGTTAGACCCCACCTCGAATGGACACAATGGCCGGCACCGCTACCGCTACCGGTCTCTTCCTGAACGGACTGTGCAGATGAACCATTAAAATTAGGATTGCTACCATACAGCGTTTGGATCCCTTCAATGTCATCGCTGGCTAATTCAACTTTCCTTGTCCTTGAAGAAATACTAGGGTACATGATAGACTCTTCCACAGAGGAATGCCCTAAACCTAACAAATGTCCAATCTCATGCACTGCCACGGACTCCAAATCCACAGCTGACGTCAACGCTGATGTCCTGACATCACCTGTTACAACCCAATGCTCGTCGTCGTCAAGATGGAGTCGCCCATTTTGGGGAGAAAAAGCGTGTGCTAGTGTCCCCAAGACCCCATCAAACGGCTCTCCATCTCCATGATCGCCACTGAAAAACGCAATCCGGATATCAGCTGTGTAGATAGAATCCGTCTGTGAGAAATTCAATGGAATCACCGTTGACCAACGGTCAAAAGCGCGGGAGAAAACGGCCTTGACCTCGTCGGATAGTTGATTTTCCGGCAAGAACACGTAGGTTAAGGCTTGTTTTCTCCAACGAGGCTGGCCAGTGAAGAAGCTGTAATGAGAGACCGTGTGAAAGTGATGGCTTGACGAGGTATTATTGGTCTTGCCAGAGTTCATGCTCGTAGAGCCGTTGATTATATCCGGATTGCCGCATCTGGGCCGCACGATGTGGTTCACTGTTTGGTCGTCGAGTTGGCCAGTGACGTTAAGGTTGAAGTTTTGTTGGTAAGTTCGGAGAGCAGATTCGAGGTTGTCGTCGAAATCATCGGTGAAATTGGAGAGGGAATTGGGGATGTAGCCGAAGTATTGGAAGTAGTTTTTGAGCTTGGCTAAGCCGTCGTATTTTTTACCTGCGTGGCAGCCGGCTAGTTGTTGGAAGAAATCCCACGGATTACCGGTGGCGTTCTTGAGCAACTCTTCTGGGATTGAAGTGTAGTTAGGGAAAAAGTGAGCAGAGATTGAAGGAACTGAGAGGAGAAGAAGAATTGTGCGAATTACGAAACGATGATGATGTTGCCGTGATTTTGTCATGATTGTTTGGTTTTGAGTTCTCGAGGAAGAGAATTTGCCGACAAAGAGAGGTTTTTGGTTTTGGTTGGAAGAAATTGAGAGGGGGTTTTTAAGTAGCAGAGGAGAGGTGCGACAATGGTCAATTAAAGAGGAGGAAGTTTCCAAGTCTCTAGAGGAATGAATGCCCGATTGGTAAAGGAGGCAGGAAGGAAGCCGGCAACAGCAACATCATCAATGGACTTCTTGGATTTGTTGGTGTTATTTTCTCCAAAACCAATACATTGTCTGACTTCTCGTGTTAAAAATTATAATTATGTGAATACGTGGAGGGCTTTATCTCGTTTTGAATCATTCCCACTTTTGCTGGGGTCTAGTGGTCTTCATCTATGGTCACGGGGATTGAATTTTGAAGGGGGCAAACCTCGGATTATTCCTCCAACTTTTGATTTTACCAATTGGGTCTCCAAATCGCAGATGACTTCTTTGAATGGTGCATGGGCTGTTCATGTGTTTTCTCATTAGTCCTCGTGATTCCCACAAGATTTGAACATGAAAATACCTTATCTTTTCACTCCTCCAAACATTTGCTAGAACAATTAGAATAATGGATTAAAGGAATAACTGGATATGCTTTACATTTGCTAATAGGGAGAAATGTTAGATATTTTCATGCATAAATTCTGGGACCATTAGAATTCGTAAGAAAACAATCAGGCAGAAAGATCCAATTGTACGAAAAAAAATATCTGGGTAGGGGGATCCAATCGATCAAATCAGTAGTTCAAGGACTCATCAAGGAGCTATATACAGTCAGAGGACTAATCTAAGGTTTGCACTCCAGAAATATTGAATAATTTTAATTGCTAGGTCTCACAAATCTACACATTACTCTACCAAGAAATTGAATGTGAAAAATAGAAAAACTGATGGAATTTCTTTTAAAAAAAATATTAAATTTTGTTCTACATTGAAAGTCAAGACGATATTTCTACAAGTCTGTTTCATAATATGGTTATAATTACTATTTAAAATACTTTTTATATAGAAATATATTAAAATAATATTTTTTTATTTAAAAAAAAATTATGTTTGAAATTAATAAAATAATATTTTTTTTATTTTAAAAAAAATTATTTTTGAAATTAATAAAATAATCTAAAAATATAAAAATTTTATTTTTTAAAAAATATAAATTAACTCACGTTTCCAAACGACCTTCATAGAATTGACTTCGTTGTCTGAACAGATAGAAAAAAGGTAGGCTGAGACCAGGTCAAACTTGGAGGTTCAACTGTTCCTTGCAATGGCCTCTGATCGCAAGGAGGCTCTTACATTACACGGAATTATTTTATACACATAGGGTTAGGTACTAAGGCAATTGGAGAATAGTCAATCCTGCATCAATTAAATGATCACCAAATCAGGGTTCATCAAACTGTTTTAATGACGGCTGATGATTTCAAAAGTGGAGCTATCTATATGTATAGTTAATAGAAATGACAGGTACCATCAGTTTTCTAAAACATCCCATGCCATAAATAATTCAATTCTTTTTTTGCTCCCTCTTGATAACCAACAGATTCTTAAACAATGGAGTAAATTTTGATTTCTGATACAGCAAATTGCAGAGGGCCTAAGAAGGTGATTGTCACTGTATTGATTTCTGATACAGCAAATTGCAGAGGGTAGCCCTAAGAAGGTGATTGTCACTGTCGAGGGTATTTATAGCATGGATGAAAAAGAACTGTGCGTACTTCTGGAGAAGTCCAGTCTTGATTCTTGACCTCAGAAATACGCTAGAAATTTGTACTCTGAAGGCCGACATTCGAGTTTCAAGCACTTCCTCTGGAGGTTCTATATCCTAACATCTTGAGACCTTTTTACATCATGGGATATCTACAAAGCTCTAAATTTGTCAACTAAACGTATCACATTTGCACGTCTGCCAATGAAACCTAAAAGCCAGCAGACCCCAAACCTAAAATGCGAATTGGACATGACTACTCTCATAAAAATCGGTCTACAAACATTAACTTATGATCAAAGCTACATCAATTGGCCTGCAAATTTGCAAAGACTTGCTTAGCTTATACAAGGTATATATATCAATTCTAACAAGAGGGTTTAGTTAAATGCATAAAAGGAGGAACAATGGAAAAGAAACATTATTATTCATGAAGAGACATGTAATGCAGCCTATAGAATGCTCCAAGATTTCTCCCCATCAACCAACAACAATGATACTCAATCCCCTTTCCCAACGTCAAAAATAATCATAAAATGATAGGTTTTGGCATATATCTGTAAATCATTCAATTTATTCCACAAAAGAAGGGTACATGTATAGCTAGCATTAGCTTAGAATTGAGTGCATCTAACATAGCTCTTGCTAAAACAAATTTCACCCACACACCTTTACTGAGAAACAGACACCAAAGGGATGCATCCCTTCACCACTGTTCAGTTTGCTTGAGACCTCTACATCGATTCTTGATCAAGAATATCCTAACCAGAGTTACTTAACTGGTCTTCTCCGAATCTTTGTAATCGGCTTAATATTTCCTCTTAAGTAACCTAGTCAGCATCAAATACGAATAACAAATCACATTCAGATGCAGCTCATTCCCAGCTAAAATGGTGGTCAATTGAAATGTCACGTATTAGAGAGTCAACATTGAAAAATGATGAAAGAAGAACTAATAACAGCAGAACAATTTAGAACTAACTACCATGCTCTGAATAAAGGTGCTATGCATTGGATCACCAATCCAGTAACCCTAGTCTCCACAAATATGAACTACATATACTCTTCTTGAATGTAAACTCTGTCTCTTTCAGAACCCACTCCACAAGTTGAGTCCTCATTCATGCAATGACTTGACTTTTCTTAGTCGCAGTTCACAAAGTATTCCACATACAACTTTAGAGTACCTTAGCGTGTTAAAAACTGCACTGCTATACACCACAAAAAGGCAGCTAGAACTTCTGGCAACCTCAGCGGACCTTAAAAGTTGAAATCCAGACCACACCTCATTAGATAGGTTGCACTTCCTGCTGACAATTTCTAAAAACCACCAACTCTGAGCTCAATAGAAAGTCAATCTTCTAGTGTTGAGGAATGGCAACCAATTCGGGACTCTAATCTCAACAGGTTTATATAAGTTACTGAAGAGTTTTAGAAGACAATAAAACCCCAGAGATGAATAAGGGAACAAGCACAGAAAATATGCAAACGTCATTGACTACAAACAACATGCGAATATTGCATAAAGAATTACAGTTTTTCTCCATTCACTAATTGAAAGTATGATTATTCACATTCAACTTTTGGCTTGGAACTTCAACTAATCTGCTTTCAACCTCAAAAGGAATGAAGTAAAGCAAAAGACTTATGCTTTGATTTTGAATTCTTTTCATAAGAATATTTAAAGCAATTTCCTTTTCATGCATTTCTCCAAGAATCAAATGAAGAAGAGATATAGCTTCCGGCTCATTAAAACAGCCACAACTACTTCAGTAAATCAACTCAAGGGTCATGCAATAGAATATTGCACTGAATTAAAAATGCATTGATATAGGGCAAGAAAGTAATACTAACCAATACATCCTACTAATACCAAAAAGTACTACTATTTCTAGTAGACGGAACGAAATAGGTCAAATTAAATTCAGACATGATGCATCTTAATTACCATGGCTGAGAAAAGCTATCCATTAAAAAAAACCTCTACAAGCTCACCAAAAAACCATCAAGAAAACCCCTTTCCTAGCTTCTGAATCGCACAAAACATCTTCCTTCTAGACCCAACAGCATTGATCCCCATATCCTTCAAATCCTCCAATGTCAACTTTGGCAAAACCTCATCATCCACCTCATGAATCTCAAAAACTGGTGCGTATCTCCCTAACCCTAAACTATTCAGCCAAATCCTCACTCCGTCCTCCCCTCCACCACCACACCTACCAATATTCATATAATCTCTCATATCATTATCAGATGGATCTGATAAATCAACACCGTCATGACGATAATCATGATTAACATTACGATCATTCCTCCCCCTAATTACCCTCCTATAGCAATGCACTTCCCTCCCATTCGTCTCATTCCCATCTCCCAAATTATCAAGTGGATCACGAATATGGCTTTGTTCTTTCAACAAAGTCTCTGAATTCTCAACATCAAATTCTCTACAATCCTCCTCCTCCTCCTCGTCTTCACCACCACTGTATTTCTCCTCCCCTTCACCACCATTACCACCACCACCACCACTACTATCATCAAATTTAGACACCCAGTTAGACCTAACTCGCTTTGCACTAACATTCAAAGACCCTCTCTTTTTCGAAGAATGATTAACTCTCCAACTCCCAATTGCAACACTATCCAAATTAATATCATTATCCCC